ATGTATAATATTTGTATCAAACATTATACATTATTAGACAAATCCTGTCCAAGATGCGTTTTCCAAAAAGCAAGATGGATGCCAGTCGGCCATCTTTGATCTGATTATAGAACAAACTGACATATTCCAAGATCACAAATGATTAACAAACAATAACACTACAATCCCTTGAAAATGACATTCATGTGAACAAAACTGACAAATGCACCACAGTATATAGTCAAATCAGTAAGAATACAGAAATTTAGACCTCATAAAGAGATGATTTGAAAACAAATAGCGAATAGAGCAAAAATTTTCTCGCATAATACAAACTGACATGAATATGTATGCCAATATGTATAACATTTGTATCAAACATTATACATTATTAGACAAATCCTGTCCAAGATGCGTTTTCCAAAAAGCAAGATGGATGCCAGTCGGCCATCTTTGATCTGATTATAGAACAAACTGACATAGCCATGTATTCATATATGTATGATGCATGTGCTAAATATGAATGAACATGGTGCAAAAGCCTTGGAGATATAGTAGTATGGTCAAAAAGCAAGAAAAAAGGCAGTCGGCCATCTTTGATCCAACTGTAAAACAAGTTGCCATGGACATTTACCTAAAATGTATGATACATATAACAAATTTGAATGAAAATAATAAATCATGTTCATGATATAACATTTCCAAAAAACAAGATGGCTGCCAGTCGGACATCTTTGATCCGATCGCGAAACGAATTGTCATAGTCATGTATCCATTCCAATAAGTATGATGAATGTTCTAAATATGAATAAAAATGGTCCATATGCATTGGAGGTATAGAAGTATGGACAAAAAGCAAGATGGCTGTCATTGGCCATCTTTGATCTGATTATGAAACAATTTGACATGGACATGTATTCCAATATGTATAATGTTTGTGTCAAACGAAAACCGACAAATTCTGTCCAAGATACCACGTTTTCCAAAAAAAAAAACGAGATGGATGCCAGTCGGTCATCTTTGATCGGATCACGAAATGAA